TCAGAGGCCTCAGCGAACCTCAGCACAGACTGCAGGCCCCGAGCCTCAGAGCATTGCAGGGTTGTTTATGTATGGACCCCGCCTTGGAGTTCAGATCTGCCCTGACCAGTCCTGGGGCAGGCCAGGCAGGGCTCCTGCTGGGAAATATTAGCATTCTGAGTTGCTGCGTGTCCTTGTTGTTTTAAAAGGATAGACAAGAACCACATGCACCCTGAGAAGGCCCCCCTTCGGCAGGTGGCCCCAGCTAGGAATCCGTTCTGGCCCTCCCCYCTCYGGGAAGAAYCACTCCTCTCCATTCTGCCCCCTAGATTGCCCCTGCACCCTTCCAGCCAGAGGCTCCCGTGCTGGCCCTCCGGCTCCAGTCTCTTCTCTAGTTGAACTGCCTTCCCAAGGTTGCCACAGGAATCCTTCGGTGTCAGTCTCTGTTGCCATCTAATAGTCACCCCMAGACCTAGTGACCTCAAAGGACAGGGGTGGTTTTATTGCTTCCATTAGTTCCCATGCTTCCACCCTCCGCAGTGTACTCCTCCCATCTCTCTCTCCCTCTGCCCCAGTGAGTGGTATGCTCTGACCAGGTGCCCTGCGTCCTGAAAAGGCCCCTGGCACTGCCTAAGGCACAGGGAGATGGTCCAGATCCTGTGCCTGCTCTTGAGAAAATCTCCTAGGCTTCCCTGTCCCCTCCCAGGGTGCCTGTACAGCAGTGCTCATCAGTATGCGATGGTGGGTCTACCCTATTACGTTGAGCTCATCGCGGCCTTGGGTGTGTTCACACCCACCWAGGAGCTGAATGGGGTTTACCTGCTGGTGGATTCTGTGTGGGATTTGTTGCATAGACCTGGGTTTGCTGTCTGTAGATGATCTGTAGCTTTGTCCGGTGTCTGAACTCTTCAGCAGATATTTTAGCCTGAAGCATTTTACTTAATTTTGTTCTGAAACATTGTTCTGGTCCATGTTAACTGTATTTTACTTGTCACAGGATGACTTAAGCAGTTTTGTGCTTTAAGTCATATGTAAACCAGCAAAAACAGAGCATTTCCACCTGTGTGCGCTCAAGAGGTTTAAGATGGGGAAACAGCCTTTCTCCCCTGCACATCCGCACATGGACTCACCCTCGAATTTTTTCCCTATTGACTGTGACCATATCAGAAGCTCTGGTACACCATAAGCTCCAGGGACTTCACGTTCCCCACTCGGCATCAAACACAGTGCTTGTTACCTAGGAAACATTCAACAATAATTATCGAATGACTAATTGAATGGGCGGAGATCCTGGAGGGTGAAGTGAAGTGGTCATTCCTATACTGTTTTTCAGCCCAGGGCACCAGTGGGAGGCAGAACTACAGGAGCAGTTGACATTTTGAAGAAGCTGTCCTGATTAAGGGGTGACAGTTTACAAGATAAATAGGAAGCTGGTTAGGAGGAGTGACCACAAGGGGGACCCTAGGAAAATGGTTGCCAGGAGGAAGTGCAGATGTGACTCCCTGTTTCGGGGCCTCCACATCCTGTGATGTTCCWCTTGACCACATCACACGGCCTGGTGACTGGTGATCATTTGCTGTTTTATGGCTGATCGGTTCCTGGAGGGTCAGGATGTGGCCTGAGTGTGGCACTGAACGCCTGGTTGCTGAATTGTCACCTAGTTGCTGGCCTGCAGGAGGTTGAGTCCAGAACGATGGTTTTGTTGAAGGGATGATGTTTTTAGCAGTGTGAGCCACTGCAGGGCGGGTGGCACCCAGTGGTGGGCACATTTGCACTCCCTACAAGATAGAGGGCATTGTCCATCTAGAAGGAACCTTAGAGGCCATTGAGTCCAAGTCCCATGTCACACTGTTAAATGAAGCCCAAATCACAGACATCTAGTGACAGGAAAGACCTCCACCCTGGACTTACACTAAATCCTGCCCTCACTTGGTCTTGTTTGTATTTTGAAAAACATTTAGATCTCTGATGATGACGTAGGAACCTACTGGGGTAAGTTTTAAGCATCATGATATAATGAGTACCTTGATTTTACCGTTCCATGTAAGACCCGGGCAGAGCAACCTTTGTCTTCCCCTGGTGGTTTCCCTGGTAACTTCTCGCTCTTCTGAATTTTTTATTTATCATTCCTTCCACTTAACAAGAAGCAAGCTCTGCTCTGTCAGTTGAAAGTGCACGTGTCCATCTAAATAACAGAGATCACCGTCGTTTGTTTCTGAGCCTCGTAAGAGTGGTGGCATCCCAGGTAGTCTTCCCGAACTCTTGTCACCGTCCCGTTTCCAGACTCGCCCGTGCCATTGTGTGTGCTGTAGATCAGCCGTGTTTTCTCCATGCTGTTTCCCGTTAGGACCCCGTAGGGTATGAGATGACTCCCGAGCAAGGCTGCAGTTGACTCTAATTTTAACTTTTTACAAGCTGCCACTAAGCCTTCCCATGTTGCTTCACTTATGGGAAGCATTTAGTCATTTCCTAATTTAATGATAGTTAAACATCCTTAGCCCTAGAAATTTGTTGTGAAACATTTCCAATTAAGATTAATTGGGATGAGTACAAAACATGAGCTCAATGGCCCTGGGAGTGTTTAGTGCTGCCAGCGAGGCGCAGCCAGACCGCCTGGAAGGAAGCCCTCCTGCGCCGGCATCCTCGMGTGGGGGCCTATTGGCGTGGAGGCTCGGGGTGTGAGGCGGGGACCCCCAGAGAGGCGATTAAAATCATGTTCCTCTGGCACTGACCCTCTCTGGTCAAGATGTGGCTTCTCCCTTTCTGAAGAACACTGCTAAACTTCCAATTGCTCCCTCCCGAATCCCAGCATGTTCTGGATTACAGTTTCAAGTTAGCTGGGCTTGCCTCTAAGTTTGCCTTGGAGTTCAGAGGAAGATTGTTAAGATCTGCTTATTTTCCAAAAACCAGAAGTTTTTAGGTCTTATGAGTGGTATATGAATTAGAACTGTTATAAAAGGTTTCTCTCATGTGCTGGACGAGTTTTTTGTTTTTTTTTTTTTTGACCAGATTCTAGGAACCAGAAGCCCCTGACACTCCAAAAAAGAAACTGATTATTTTTGGAATAGGGTTTTTCAGCATTGACTCCTTTAACATTTAGGCCAGGGGAGTCTGTCCTTTGCATTGTTGGGTGTTGAGATCATCCCTGCCTCRTTAAAAGGTGGCAGCTTCCCCTTCCCCAGTTGTGACAGTCAAAATGTCTCSCTAGTTGGCCCCACATCTCCTGGCAGCAGGTTGGCTAGAGGGGTGTGTGCGTAGGAAGAATCATCCCTGAGTGGGAAGGGCTGGTTTATAGCTTTTAGTGAGTTCCGCTTGACTTGAAAACTTGGGGTTTTCATTCTTGCACAGGCAAGAGAACGTACAGCCTTTTGTGGAGTTTGACTACCTAACTCTAGTTCAAGGCCACAGGAGAGGTCAGGCAGGGTAGGGTTGAGTGTATATTGGGAATATTTAAAGTACTTACTTTTAAAAGTATTTTTAGCTCTTTAAAACCTGTATGTATATTTACATATGGTCCCCAGTCGTGGACCACATCCTATGATGTTTGATACTTTCCACATGAATTATCCAAGTCACTGTAACACTCCATGAGAGAGTTATCCATGGGATTGCCCCCGACCTATGGGTGGAGGCTGGCAGAAGCTTGCCCCAGGTCGCSGGGTGATAAGTGCAGCCCTGGGAAGTGCTTTCTCTAGGGACAGGCCAGCTTACTTGTGTCTCCCTAGACATGGTATTAAGATTTCTTTCTGAGCCACCCCATGCCTCATGGCCTCAGCTGACACCTGCTGGCATAGGGCCGCATTAGGGCGAGCCGGTGGCAGGGTTTCTAGCCTGGGGTTGTTTGAGGTTTTGCAGGGTAGCCAGATTGTTGCATGTCCTAGAATAAAGTGTCGCTGATAATCACCTTGAGCAAGGGACAGGCCTTAATTTTGACCATCCTGATACACAAGCCATGTGAACATGTGAAAATGGATTGTGTCTGCCATGGATATAAAACAGGGCCTGCCCCACGGCCTGCTGAGGGTTAATAGGCCTTGGTGTCTGTCGTACAGCCAAAYATGGCATTTTGAGGATTACTTTGTATATTTTATGAGACTCTTAGTTTATTGATTTAGGGCTTTCAAAAGTCCTGAAATTAGTCTGAGCAGTGCAGGCTTCAGATACAGGTCAGATGGTGCCTCTCTGGTGGCAGTGTCAGGGACTCTACCTGCCTTGCTTGCAGTCAGGGGTCTTTGCGTTATTCACCTGGCCCTTCTTCCTGCTCCTCCTAGAATCTGGCCTCTTGTGCTGCAGTGCCAGCCATCCTCACCCGCCCGCCACCCTGCCTTCACTGTGCACTTTGCCATCTGCCCCCCTTCAGGCCCCGCCCACCTGCCTTCTCTTCCCTTATCGTTTGGTGTATGTTTATGGTGACTGGCACCTCGTGGCGCCCCATAAGTCTTCACAGCAGCAGTATTAGGAGAGGCGCCCAGGGAGTGGGAGCACTGCCCATCTCCTGTCCCACAGCTCACAGTGCTTGTGCCCTCGGCGGGGGAGCGTGAGCTCTTCCTGGAGCTTGCTTCAGGTCTACTCCAGTGCACACAGGACCTGAGAGGACTGGCTGAGTTTCAGTTGGGAGAATGAAGCACTTTGACTCTCTCTGTGCCTCTTGCCACTCACTGATTCCTCACCTAGTTTCTCCCCTGACCCGGCTACGGTACCTGCCACTCATATCTGGGTTACAGGCAGGGGGACCCTAGCCTGCAGCCTGCCCTGCTCTCCACAGAACCAGCTGGGAGCTGACGCATCTGCAGCTGCCAGGTCTGCCGAGTTGTTGGAGAGCCCTTGGGGGCTCTGCACTGGAAGGGGGTGACACCCTGTGCAGTGTCTCCTCTAGCCTGCAGGCCTAGGAGGGCCAGGCCACTGTGGGACTCTCTGGGACTTAGAACTCCCCCAAGCAAGCAGCAACTGCAAGAATGGGTTTTGGAACGAGTTTTTGATATTGACAAAAATTACTTAGTGCTTCTCTTTTCCTTCCACAGAGTGATCAGCAGCTGGACTGTGCCTTGGATCTCATGAGGCGCCTGCCTCCACAGCAGATCGAGAAGAACCTCAGTGACCTGATCGACCTGGTACGTGCCTTCTTCATGTGGTTTCATTTGAGGCTGTTGCTCGTAATTGCCTGCTTTTGTGTAACTCTTTTTGTGTGGAATTCAAAACACAGGAAACCCTTTCTCTCCCGAGGCAGACAGCACCACTGGGCTCCCAGATTCTTCCRGACAGAGAGAAGATGAGTTTCATATGGTGGTCTTCCTTTGAGACCATCTGTTGATAAAGCCCATGATAAGCATTCTCAGGTTGATTACTGCCTGACCCCTCCTCCAGCTGCCTTGTCTTACATTTCTAGAAATTAGACACCCTGAGGAAGAGGCTGCAGGCCCAGCAAGGCATCTGCCTTTTTGAGTATCTCCAGCCAGTGCCTGACCAGCATCTGCCCTGTAGAGTCCTACAGCAGCCTCACTCCTGTGAAAGAGCTCAGCACGTCTGTGTGTCAGATATTCGGTTCATCCTTGCAGCTCATTGAATACTCCAGTGATTGGTCTCAAGATGATACCTCTGAATAACTGGTACTATGACATGAGCTGAAAAGGCAGGGATTTAGAAAACATCTGTAAGGAAGAATTGAAGAGAAATAAAATGAGATTGMGTCTCAGGAGGCCAAACGACCCTCCTAGACCACTCAGCCCTCAGCCCTGGCTCTCACAGGTCTGGAAGCCAAGTGTGCTCTCTTCCCCTGGTGCCCTGGGTCTTCCTGGGTGTGATCCCCAGCAGCCAAACAAGGCTCATCAGCAAGATCTTCTAAAATAGGGGATCAAAAACTCGTTCTTCTGATGTGGTGCTTTATTTAATTCCAGTGCATGGATTCAGAACAGTTTTGGTAGGAGACTGTGCCCTTCACAGGCAGCACTACAGTCTGGAAGTCGTCCACGATGCTACTAATGTAAACTTATGGGCACACGAATTCCCAGTGAGAGGCAGGCATGCGACTGAGAGGAGCTGCGGAAAGACCTGTGASCTTGCTGTAGTTCACATGTAGCTGGGCTTTGGGAGATCAGGAGGAGGAAGGTCCTGAGATTGTGGCCCTGTGGTATAGAAGTGACAGTCCCAGGTTAGGCAGATGCACATTTTAGAGGAGCATTGAAGGATGGAAGATTGAATTGTGATGCAAAGGAATCACTGTAAGCCCAGGGCCAGACCAAGATACAGACCAAGAACCAGCAGGGGAGGAAGTCACTGAAATGAACATGCTGTAGGGAAAGGGTGGCAGAGTCTGGGGACAGGCCTCACCTAGGAGAGTGCTTGTGCCCTTTTGGAAGCATGATCTTCTCACCTGTTGCTCATTTTGAGGTTTTCTGGAGCCATGCATTTGGATCGTTATGCAAGATACCCTGATTTGTAAATGTTGGTGTAAGCACTGGGTGGGCTGGGTCTGATGTGTAAAGCCCTGAGCCTACCAAGTGGGTGGACTTTGAGAAATATCGTAAAGGTGGGTGGGTAGTGTCCTTGGAAGGTAGGAGGGGGACTTGATGTAGTGTAATTGTCCCATCCACCCACTTCTGAATTTGGTGTGCAGTGAGTGCTTTGTGCTAAGCTACTCTCCTGGCCTCCAGGGCCCCAGGATCCCATAAAACAGCACTGCAGCGCAGTCTGGGAAGCATTGCACGTCTTCCCTTCTTGGTCAGGAATCTGGCTGCCTGTGTAGAAGAGGTGSCTCGGAAGTAAAGATGTGCTCAGTCTCTGCTCGGCTTGCCTGCTGGGGCCTCTTTTCCTGTTAAACTCTAGTGAGTGTGTGCTTGGCTGAGTCTCTGTTCAGTTATCCCTGTTTCAGAAATAAACTAAACATAAGGCCCAAGGAAGGATAAGCACATTTTTCTCCCTCAAACACTTGGTGTCGAATGGGCTGTTTTGTTCTATGGGCAGCTGAAGCTTTGTACTTTCTTCAGGACTCATCACTCCATCTCCTTGAGATTTGCGTGCATCTGCTTTTATGGCAGTTTTCTTGGGCTCACAGCATTGACAGGAGAAAAGGAGAGAATCAGAAACGGTTTTGCACCAAATACTGGATAGGAGAACTCAGCCTGCGGTTCAGTGTGCAGGCTGGTGCTCCGGTGCAGGTTGAAGTTCCCAGCTGCATTTGTCATGGATGCATGACTATAGTCTGGGGCATTCTGTAGGATGCTGTCAGAGCACACCGCTTTTCTCTTTTCAGCTCTCCAGAATGTGTACCCCAGAGTACACATTTGTTGAATACATACCATTACAGTTTGGATCTAAAATGTCTCCTAGGGGCATGTGTGTTAAAGGCTTGGTCCCCAGCCTATGGTGCTGTTGGGAGGTGGTGGTACCTTTAAGAGGTGAGGCCTGGTGGGAGGAAGAGAGGTCATTGGGGGCATGCCCTGGAAGGGGATATTGGGAACCTGGCTCCTTCTCTGAGCTTTGCAGCCACCATGCTGCACTCCCCACCATGAGATTCTGCCGTTCTACAGGCCCAGAAGTAGCAGGGCTAAGACCCCATGAAACAAACCCTCTGAAACTGTGAGCCTAAATGAACATTTCCTCCTCTCTCAAGGTTGATTATCAGGTGTTTTGTCATAGTGACAGAAAACTGACGTACCTTCTGTGTGCCCTCTGCCTGGCACTTCTCTTTGTGTTCTTAGCCCATCGGATTTTCCCGATACCCATCCACCTTTTTTTAGATGATTTAAATTCTAAGAAGGAGTTGAGAGGCCCTGCAGCCCCCGGAGCCCTGTCTCTGCTACCTGGATGGCTCTGTGTGCTCTGGGGAGTCACATTCACAGCAGCAYATTGAAGACGGTGCCTCGTGGTGTGTCAGTTTTATCTGTTTGAAGAGAAGGTGTTAAGTAATTTAATTCACTAGTAATCTGAGGTGCTAGAGTATAGGTAGGAATGGTCTGAGGATTTTTTCTTTTTTGTACCAGGGATTGAACCCAGGGGCACTTAACCACTCAGCCACACCCCCAGCCCTKTTTTGTATTCTATTTAGAGACAGGGTTCACTGAGTTGCTTAGGGACTTGCTAAGTTGCTGAGACTGGCTTTGCACTCCCAATCCTCCTGCCTCAGCCTCCCACGCTGTTGAGATTACAGGTGTGCACTCCTGTGCCCAGCCTGAGGAATAATTTTAAATTCACATAATAGAAAAACAAAAATTAGGGACATAGAGGAAGTTTCTTTCTTAGAGCCAGGCCATTTAGCATTAACGGTCCACCTGCCCGGGTAGCTTCTGGGCGGCTTGAAAGACACAGACTTCACCTGAGCGGGGCCCTGGGAGATCCTGTTGTGGAATGGGTTGGGGAATTGGGACTCATTAATTTTTTAATTGAAGTATGATGTATGTCAAAATGGAAATGGAGCATGGCCGCTCAACAAATTAGGACCTGGTAGAGCACGCCTCATTAAGACCACTGACATGCTGCGAAAGCCATCTGATTGATGGTGGCCGTCGGGCCTGGCTGCAGCTGGYCCATGCTGAGGGCCGAGGGGCGGCCCCCGTCAGACCCTGGGACAGACCTGGAAGCGCTGGCGTGGCTTCCTTTTCTCGTTGCCGTTTTTCTGCTGTTTTCCTTTCCTCCAGAAGTTGACCTGGGCCTAGTGTCCTGTGGTGGCTGAGTTCACACACAGTCTTAGTCTCTTCCCACAAAAGCTGTGGTTTCTGAAAACCACTGTGGAGCCTGCGTCCTGGGCGTCCAGCCTGGGTTTCCCAAGCGGCTGTGGCCTCGCCCCGCGGGCATCGGGCCACTCCTCCAGGGCTACCTGCCTGGATAGAAGAGGAAGCGGCTGTYTTTAAGAAATGTCTCCAGTTTTCAGACTGACAGGAGTGTTAGGATTTGCCAGCCTTCCCCCTGAGGGGAGTGGCCTCGCTTAGATGTCAGAGCCAGGGAACCACAGGGGACTGAGCCGGTTCACCCGCGCCCGTTACAGAGCGGCGTTAGCGAGCACTGTGGTGCGTGCTTGGCAGCCGGGCCAGGCTGCCRGTTCCCCATGCCAGGGCAGCTGGCTTTTTTCTTTCTGGCATCAGAGCTTTTGCTGTCTTGGGATTCTGATGCGTGTTCTGATTGGTGGGGGAATGACCGTCCTTTCCCGATGGCCAGAATGTCATTTTATTACATGTTCATCCCACTGTGCTGGCGGGAGCCTGGCTGCACTTGCTGTTAAGCTGTTTCAGAAACACCCACTGGTCCTGCTGGGCCGAGAACCGGGTGATGTGAGGGTGCTCCCTTGGCTTCCTAAACTCTGACCTGCTGTGGCCTCCCTGTGCACACTGGCAGCCAGAGTCAGGACATCTTGGCTGGGGTGTATTTTGAGCCCTGAGCTGAGGAAGGAGTTTGTTCCTACAGATCGGCACCCAGCAGGCCATCCTTTGCTTTTTTAAGAGCAAATCAAAAATAGCCATAAATCCGTTTAACCAGGCCAGAAGGTCTGCTTGGGAAGGTTGGTCACTTCAGTTTTTGATTCCTTCTCTTCCTTCCCATCATTCCCTGAAAGCTTGCCTCTTAGGTATCCCCGGGCTTTCCTCCAGCAGAGGGAAGACCTCAGAGCTGGCAAAGCTGCCACTCCTCCCCGACCAGGCCACGGGTGCAGGTGGAGGAGGCGTCTTGATGCTTCACCAGGGAGTTGGCCACTTGATCGGTGTTGGTTTCGGCGTATCTCCTTTAGCAGCAAGATGGGCCTCCAGAAATAGAAAGGGCCAGCTGGGCACAGGGATTCGTCCCACCAGCCTCAGCATACCTGAGTTTTGAACAGCTCACAGAAAGTGTCCCCCTAGTCCATGTAGCATGACGTGTGTGGAGAGCACAATGTGACAGTAGGAGGCTGGAACACAGGTGCACTACACCCCAGACCTCAGCAGATGTGAGCGGAGACCACCRCCCGCACCTCAGGCCTGCTGTCCCTGGGGCAGCCTGTGCAGCAGCCCACACACCTGTGTGATTGGTGGTGAATGAAGGCTAATACACTATTAGTAGTTCATTAATATTTTGATTAGCAGAACAGCCAATATTTGTGCCAAGCACTATTATTCAATTTCTGATTTCTGGTAGTTTAACCCATAAA